TGTTTTACTTTTGATTTGTAACTATTTGTAATTATTTGAAAACATATATTCAACAGTATTTTACATTTAATTAAAAATTGTTTGAATTTTGTTTATTAAGTATATTATTAATACTATTATCATAGGTGAAACAAGTAAAAACGGTTCAGGTCAGTCAAGCCATGGCCTGATCTAATACTGTGTGGATAACATACTTACTGACTATACATACCCTAAAATATCCAAATTACTAAAAGTACTAAAAAATCACTTAAATCAGTCAAATCTAAATAAAAAAATCAATGCTCTAAAAACTATCACCAATTTTACTTCTACAACCAATAACACATAATATAAATTAAATAACAATATAATCTATAAATTATAAATATATTATTTCATTCCTGTGAACAAAATTAAATTGTTATTAATTAATTTACCTACCTACTCAAATTGATAGCTAAATTTTCAACAATATTTTTACTATAAATTATAATTAGTTACTAAAAAAGTTAGTAGAAAAAGCATAGTATCAATTAATAATATAAATGTACAACCAATTACTTAATATTAATTACTATATCAATAATTATTATAAACAATATAAATTATTTATAACTATACTATAATTATTGACTCAGTATTTCATAATTTATTTTTGGCTATTGTGTTAATTTAATGTAGGAAAATTATGCCACATAGTTATTTCTGTCTTCTGATCGTCTGTGACGGCAGAAAAACACGACAGCTTATAATATAGTAAATAATTATAGTATTATTGTTATACAATTTTTATTATAGCGTATTTCTGCGTATACTGTTTTAGAATACAATTATACGATTAATCCATTTACCAAAATAATATATAATATATAAATATAATAATTATTATATTGCGTATAATAATAATATATTATACGTCTAATAATTTATATACCCTGTGAAATTACCTATGCAAACATACGGGTGCCCGCAGACGAAGACTACTGCACCAGTGCAGCTAGACCTACTTACATAATAATATATTATTATATGTATTATAAAATATTAATTATAATAATATAATATATTAGGCACCATTAATCATTATTAATATCAATTGTATTACTGCAGAACTCAGATTGTATACATAATAATATAAATATCTATATAGGTAGGTACTTTCGAGTTAATATTTTAGAATCCAGTAAAAAACTAAGTAAAACTAAGTAAAAAAAATGAAGGCATAGCACATGACCTAGGCTACAGGTCTAATAAATGGACCAAATTAATAATGTTTAATAATATTATTATAAACGTGCCATGGAAACGGCAATATAAATATTATAAACTATTAAAATAAATAATAATATTATATAATATTTATATGATAATTTATAAAAACTAATAATATACCAACAAAAATACTATGTCAACTCCATGTAAAAAAAATTTAATTTAATTTAATTCTTCGTTTTGCGCACGGAGTAAACAATTACCCCAGACGTATTAATACAGTATATTAATAATTTAATATGATAATTTATAAAAGACTAATAAACTTTAACTTAGCATAGTTATTTTTTATTTAAGAATAACTTAACTTTAACTAGTTAAAAAAATTGGTTAACTTGCCCAGCTTTGCCATCATCCACATGATGTTATAATAAATAATTATATCTTATAAGTTATAATATTATATTTAATATTGATCGCATTGTGTGATAGAAGGATAGTACAAATTTACATAATATACACGATATTTATTATTTTCTACCATATGCATTATAAATTATATTATTCATAGCTTTTAAACAGAAATTCAATTATAGCCTATAGGTTTATTTTAAATGCGTAAAGCTTTTTAAATGTTAGATATTAATGTTAAAATTTTTCGACTTCCGTTTCGGATATCATGTTATTTCTTAAGATTTCGTCTTAAGTTTCAAAAAACGGTATTATTTTTTCCGATTTCGATTTCGGTTTCAGATATCGGTATTTATGTTTCCGATTTCGGTTTCGGTTTTGGATATCGGTATTTATGTTTTCCGATTTCGGTTTCGGTTTCGGATACCGGTATTTATTTTTTCCGATTTCGGTTTCGGTTTCGGAAACCGGTATTGATTTTTTCCGTTTTCGGTTTCGGTTTCAGATACCGGTATCGATTTTTTCCGATTTCGGTTTCGGTTTTGGATACCGGTATTAATTTTTTCCGATTTCGGTTTCGGTTTCGATTTCGGTTTCGGTTTTTAACGGTTTAAACCGGTATTCAAAACCGGTATCGAAAATCGGTTTCAAGCCCTGATTTAAATGTCACGTGTGCCGAAGTCCCCCAAAGGAAAATATTTTAATAATTATTGCGTTTCACGATTTGCAAAATAATTAAAGGAATATTGCGTTTCAATTTCTATGAAAAAATATTTTAGGAAATATTGCGTTTCAATTTCTATGAAAAAATATTTTAATAATTATTGCGTTTCACGATTTGCAAAATAATTTAAGGAATTTTGCATTTAAAATGAAAGTGTACCATAGTGACCCCTATACTACTTGTAGGTGTAGTAAATACCTAGAAAATATAAATTAGTAGGCTACTAGACTATCGTATACTAGACAACTCGTCTATGCTCAAATTGTATCTATGTGCAATAAAATATAAAATGTCGATCTTGTCTTGTGTTAGACTAGGTACATTGTAATTTGTAATATAATTAGTAATTACTAATCATAAAAAGTAGTTAGTGTAAAATTGAGGAAAAAACTGGGAAAATGTATTAAAACGTTTATACTTTTAATATTTATACTTGAAGTATAAATACAATTTTTTTAAATAATATAGTTAAATATGCACATTTGTTGCCGAGATAAATTTATTTGTATTTTGGATTTCCTATATTATGTTTAATGGTATAATATTAAAATGTGTAAATGGTAATACAGTTTAAATACAACTATTTAGGTTACATATACTATAACTTTTAACTATATAATATCGAAGGATATATTTGATAAGAAATTAATATGATAAATTATAAAATTTTTATGAACATGTACATCACTACACTCACTAGCTCTGGATATAATGTAAAGCTATTATACCTACTTTTAGTATTAATTCTTATCTTGAATAGGCTACAAAAATAATAATATAAAAGTTTATAAATAATTATTATTTATTCATATTTTATATTAAAAAAAAAATACTATGCTGGCCAATGTCTGTTATTAATTTCCTTATAATCGATACAAGAAACTTGTTTATTTCTTGTTAATGTTTATATTTCAATTTCGTTAAAAGAAAACATTTAAATTATATACATCACAGTTTTAACTTTCATTTGAATAATATTACATTTTTCAGATTGCCGTTTTAATTTGTAATTTGTTTAAGTTTTTCAAAATTATTCTTAACTTTCCTTACTTTCTTTAAGCTCGTGGAAAATTAATTGTTCATTTTATTTTCAATATTTAAACTTTTAGATACATATAGGTGCACACATCAACAATGAATGCAATTTTAAGTAAACAAAAGCTATTATTTATCAAAACACGGATCCAAAATAGTATTGCACGTACCTCGATGTTTCATAGCTATTGAACAATATGGAAAAGTTAATGAGTCCACGTGATAGTAAGAAATTATTGAAACTCAGCCAAATTAAATGTAGTACCCATAAACAGTATAAACCAAGTAAGTAATACAATTTTCTGTATTATGTAAAATGTAAATACATATATATAATATTATATTTGTTTAGTATTTTTTTGAAGTAGCATATAATAATATATAAGTAGGTAGGTGCTATAGATTTACACTTATTAGATAAAGTAGCGAACACTCAGAACAAGGGTCGGTAACTGGCGGGCGACTACCAAAAGGAAATAAATGGACGCCAAAACTATTTTACTTTAATACTGATTTATTTTTCATTATTTTTCTCTGTATTTAGACCATTAGCATGATAAACAAAAGGTTTTCTGGACCTAAAAAGTTTTTTTTTTCAAATCCTCCGGACCCTCCTCAAAGAAACTAATTCCCGACCCCTGGCTTAAAGGCTGACCTGTGAAAGTGACGGATAAAACAGCAACCAGAGGTTTTCGGCGATTTGGTTTTAGATGAGAACGAAAATAGTCCGCGGTGCATAGTCCACATTATTCGTAATGAGTAAATTAATTATTGTGTTTAAAGTTCATATTTTCTTCATCTCCCTGTCAAGCACATCAAAGACTATCGCCGGCTGGCCTCACACACACTTATTATTATCTGACTTTATTTTTTTTTAAATTTAATTTATGGTTGTATTTGGTGTAAAAAAAATTGGAAAAAGTTAAATAGTGTCGTCAAAAAATGGAAACATATATAATATGTCGCATCCACTTAGTGAAATCGCTCATTTCATGAAGCGGATGTCCATTTCATGAAATGTATATCCATTTATATGGAGTAATATTGACACGGTCGAGTGGTATATCCGTCTTGACGTGTCTCCGATTGACTGGTTTTGGACGATGTGCGCCTAGCCCGGTGATGCTGGTTGAGGAAAGGTGACACAACACAATTAAATAAAAAAAAACAAGCCGCTATGTTTATATATGAATTTAATCGGTTGCGAAGTGGTTTTCACAGGTAACGAGCGATTATTATTACAATCGGAAAAAGAAACAATATGTCCCTAGTATGCTGTGGTCTAATGGGTCGCGTACAGTCTACGAGAGGGGTAGTGTTCGCGTTGCCGTGACTGGTAAAAGATAGAGAGCCGGCGCGCGGAGCCGGTTGCCCGTTGCACCGTTCCAGCGTTCCAATGCCGTTGTCGGCCGGAGCGCTGGTGTCGTCCTACCGTGACCTGGTGGATGGTAAAAGCTGGCGCGGCGGGAGTACGACGTTTGAATTCAAACGCCGGTTCCCGGGTCCGCGTCATACTCCCCCTCCAAACCGCCAGTCATGGTGGTGATGCGACCAGTGCTTCGAGGTTTCCGGCCCTGGGCCCTGACCACGGTTTGATCGGCTTGTGACAGCGGTGCGTGGCCCTGGTTCTGCCTGGTCACTCTTTCTTTTTCGGGGAGGACTCAGCCGAGGTTGTGGACCACCATATTGTGTCGTGATCGCTGTCGTCCTTCCCCAGATATTCCGGGGTTTTGTCCCTTAGCACCTCGTTCTCCTGCTCCGGTGAGATCTCCATCTCTTCCGAAGTGGTTTCGGCAGTGTTTGGGGTGGGCGTGTCGGTTGCTTGTCCAGTGGTGGCAGAACCGGCTGGTGGCTGTCCGTCTACGACCATGTCGTCCCGGAATGCTGGTGGCGGTAGGGGAGTAGCGGGTGGCGTGCTATGGGCGTCCAATTTGTTGTTGAGCCGGTGTTGTTGGGTTGTCTTTGCTCTTTTCGTCGCCATGTACTCCCTCAGCCTCGCCTTGTCCCTCTGTGTCAGTGCCGAGTCCCGTTGCAATTGATCCAGTGGCATGCGTCGTGTCCTGGCCGCTGTTCTTCCGGGGTCCGCCCGGGTAGTCTGCAGGTTGCGCCTGCTCCTCTCCAGCAGTTCTGCCACCTGCTGGATCGGGTCTGACGGTGTTTGTTGTTGACTGTTCGACATCGGGGTTGCGGGGTGTTCTGTTTGTGCTGAAAATTATGATTATGTTACTGCTTGTTGTGCCTACGCTGTTATTGTTATCAATATTGTTTTTTTTTTTTAAGTGAAAACTTCTTTAGGCACGTTGGGCACCCCATATAAGAAAGCATTTGCGAGTTAGGAAAAAAGTATGATCTCGCGACACCGCCACCGCCACCGCGAGTATATATATGTATTTGTTTGGTCACGTATAGCAACCGCGCGTTATATTTATATTGTTATATTTATTTTATATATATATTTGCAAGTGAGGAAAAAAGTATGATCTCGCGACACAGCCACCGCCACCGCGAGTAGATATATATACAGTGGTATATATATTTGCGAGCGAGGAAAAAAGTATGATCTCGCGACACCGCCACCGCCAAAGCCACCGCGAGTATATTATATATGTACTGTGGTATATACATTAGTGTATCAAAGCTGCGCGCGCAGCAGACGGCAGTTACGGGAAAACAACAACGCCCGCCTGCATTATGTAAAATAACTGAAATGATTATGTATAGTATTTTATATTTATAAATAAAACAATTCGTGGTACATTATTTCCTAAGCATTACAAAATTTTTAAAAATGAAGTGAAATTGTTCTAGTATATAATATACACATACACGCTCACACTTAAGTATAACAGTATATACCACAGTATATATATACATGTACTCTCGGTGGCGGTGGCGGTGTCACGATTTCATACTTTTTTTCTCACCCGCAAATGCTTTCTTACGGGGTGCCCAACGTGGTTAAGAAGTTTTCACTTCTACCGGCAGTCCCCCGACTGGTTAATACTTTTTAATACTGAGTCAAAATATCCAATTTGGAAATCTGATTATAAGAACAATTTTGATGTTGTTAAAAAAATGTATCCAAGTCAAGTAGGTTTATTTTTTAGTAAATGAATTTAGATTGTAATAACTTTTTTCAAAATATTATTTTTGGGAATTTCCTGACATGAGTATATTATTTCTTAAATTATCAATTAACCATATAATTTTAACAATATCTGTCAGGTTTTCCTGTTACATTCTGTATATTAGTCATACTATACTGCAATATTATCAGAGATTAAATACATTCTTTAAGTATTGATTGACCTAAAATAAGTTTACATTAGAAAATCGATATCAAAATATTTTTTATTTTTAATTGATTGAATGATATCTTAAATTCTTAAAGTCCAAACGTGTTTTTTTTGTGTGTTATGTTGTCTATCCCGGTTTTTGTTCGCTTTGCCGTGACTGGTAAAAGATAGAGAACCGGCGCCCGGAGCCGGTTGCCCGTTGCACCGTTCCAGCGTTCCAATGCCGTTGTCGGCCGGTGCGCTGGTGTTGTCCTACCGTTACCTGGTGGTTGGTAAAAGTTGGCGCGGCGGGAGTACGACGTTTAAATTCAAACGCCGGTTCCCGGATCCACGTAAATTAAATATAGCCGGTACTTAGGTATATTTATAAAATATAATGTTATATACTAACATAATACAAGTTTAACTAATACTAGAAAAATAATTGTATTTATCAGGTATTCAGAACAGTTAACTGTCAAAATAAGAATTGTCAGTACAAAAGTTACCCAGTATACAGGGTGATATTTTTATCATTGAACACTCATTATTTCAAAAAGTATTAATGTTTAAGAAAATATTTTTTTACATAGTTTCAAGTTGTTAAAAAACAATATTTTTATTAAAAAATTATATTTTTAAAGATTTTTTATCCTTTTAATTTTTTAAGTTTTTTACTTTTTTGAATGGCAACATGTAATTTTAATTTGATATTCAAAAACAGAATATTTTTCTGAGTATTTCGATACATAAAAATTGAATTTAGGGCACTTAGTTTATGAGTTATAAGTATTTAAAGTTTAGATGAGCGGAGTAGAGTGGTACGGGGTTACCTCGCGAAATGTTTGTCCACTACCCCTCTCATCTAAACTTTAAATACTTATAACTCATAAACTAATTGCCCTAAATTCAATTTTTATGTATTGAAATACTCAGAAAAATATTCTGTTTTTGAATATCAAATTAAAATTACATATTGTCATTCAAAAAAGTAAAAAACTTAAAAAATTAAAAGGATAAAAAATATTTAAAAATATAATTTTTTAGTAAAAATATTGTTTTTTAACAACTTGAAACTATGTAAAAAAATATTTTCTTAAACATTAATACTTTTTGACATAATGAGTGTTCAACGATAAAAAAATCACCTTGTATAAAACAGTTTTATGTAACCTTAATAATAAGTACTAATTAATGATTAGGTCATTAACCTATTTTTCTCAGTAATCACTAATCACTAATCAACAGACATCATCGAACTTTTTTTGAAAAAAAATATAATAATCTTACTTTTATCAGAATAGTAATTTTCTACTATAATTACAGTATACTCCTATTCGAGAAAAAAAACCCAGCAAAAAATAGATAGATGGCATATTGTAGTGAATAAATAAATAAAAAGACAATAAATTACTAAAAATATTACACTTATATTATGAATTAGTAAAGAAAAAATGACGTATGTAAAAAGTTTTTACTTTAAATTATAATAGGACAAACAGGCTATTTACTTGGATGTATATCAAATATCATGTACATTCAATGTTTAAAATAAAGACAAATTGATTGATGTACAAAATATTATTTACAATTAGTATTAAAGTGTCCATATAGCTGGTATATTTACATAATTTTTTTATTGTTATTTAAAAAATATACAGCATATACACGTGTAAAATATTAGCAACTATAAACAATGATAATAATGTATAAAGAAAAATAATTGTTTACAATCTATGTTAACTATTTTTAAAACTGGAATACTTTGTTTGTACCAAAGTTGATAAACACAGTGCTTCCACAAAAAAATCAATCTTACCCGGTGAGTTTTAATGACAAATAAACGATATTTCTGATAAACGACAACTGCAGTATTTTCGGACAAATGCACCCTTCGTCAAAAATATAAACGCAGGGCGAGTCCTTCTCCTGCAGCAGATCGTCCCACCACTTCTATTATAATATTGTATTGTATATTATGTGTAATATGTTTGTATAACGTTCTGCACACACGACGCGAGTCCAAAGTCATACAATTATCGTGTGGGTGCTCGACTCGTACTCGTACAAATCGCCATGCACCCACATCTTCCTCCAGGAGCAGCAGTTCAACTCGATCGCGTGCCTTCGTTCACAGGAAGCTGGTGACTATGGACTTGAGGCCAAACAGCGACGATATCTGATAATTTCGATACATAATGCCAATGTCGTCCACCAGCACGGGGTAAATCTTGAGGGCCAGCGTGATAATGATGACCGCGCGGTTAGGTATGGGTCGGGTGTTGACCAAGAACAGCTCGCAGTTGATAATGGATAGCAGCCAGCCAAGTCCAATTATGTGCTTGACTGACACCCCACCAACGGCAACCATGCACAGCCACCCGTAATCGGTTACGTCGTACGCGGTGCACCTGTCTGCGACAGCTTGTATGCGTGGGCGGCCACGTGCATCTCGGCGAACGTGATGGACGTGAACTATATGATCGAAGTGACGCTGGCTGTCACCCGAAACACGGACATGCCATGTCTGACGATGAGTGCTTTAAGTCTTACCCAGTCCCTGAACGGCTTGGTGAAGGACGCGTTGCGCATTTCCTTGCATATGCACTCGACCATGGCGTCCATCTCATTTTCTATACTACTCTTCGCCGCTCAACCAGTACAGCACCCGTTTGGCGTCCGCTAGCCGGTTCTTCATAACGTACAAGTGAGGGGATACGTGTATGGTAGCGAACAGTGCTCAGAACGCCACCGGGGCCGCAATCGCGGCATTCGTTATCCATGTGTAATCCGGATACATGCCAGTCGCACACACGTACACTAGGGTTAGCCACCTGGAAGGCACTTGATGAAAACCGATTCTTCAAGATGTTGGTTATCCTAATAAAAAATATTATAATTATTTAAAATCGTTTTTTTTTTTTTTTTATCATAAAAAACTAACTTGGCCATCCGGTAAATTTGACGGTGTCCACCTCAACCGATCTGGGTCGATATGAATTTGTTTTAATTCAATTTTCTTCTTTATGTGGGAATCTACGACATTCCAGTCTATGCATATGGTCATTTCTTTAAAGATTTCCACAACCATGTGTAGAGATTTGAACGTGTCTATAATATCTTGTCTCATTAAACCTAAATTAAAATTGTTATTAATATTATGATTGTCAAAATTCTGAATAAAAAGTTTCAAATAAAATGTTTTTAAATTACCAGTTTCACTGCTAACATCATTGATGCATATGTTTTCAATGCCTCTGTGTTTATCTAAATATTCTAGAATAACACCTTTCCAATATGCATCGTACGTCATTTTTCCCAAGCCGGAAAGGGGTGATTCCGGGGTTCCCGGTTGTCTTTCAATTCTAGATAGAAGGTAACCTGAAAAAATAAACTAAACATGATATATGCTAAAACGCCTAGGTCCATATAGTTTTCACTTACTGAATTCGATGAGAATTCGTCCATACCCTTTGTTGCCAATAACAATCCGGTATTAATGAACGAATTTGATGTACCCGATTGGACACGTACACTTTAAATGATTCGTGTGGTGCTGTCAACCACGACAGCACGATCGTCGAGTCTGACCAAGCCCGTACACCGACCACATCGAGTTGGGGCGATAGTATTTTTTGGATGCGGCCTAACCAACGGGCTAACAATACCGCGGCATTCAATTCTAATCTCGGGACCTTTAACGCTTTCGTCGGCGCTAGCTTGGTCTTAGTACCAATTAGAAATACAGAATTATTGACTTCGACGTTTATCATACGCACGTATACAACTGCCGCGTAGCCGGCCTGTGATGCATCGCAAAACCCTAACAAATAACACGGGGCGCCTTGACGGCCGTTAATATGTCGCGGTACACGGACATCTAATAACGACGGCAACTCAGAAA